CTTTAATTTAACTATTTATTTTGCATTTTACCTCAAACAACACTCACAACCACTGTGTTTATGGATGAAAAAATCTAGGGAGGATACATTTGATTCAGATTGACTCATTTGCAGGCAGACTACAGCCTGATTTGATTTGAAATGATTCACTGCATCACTGTAATCCAGCTCGAGTTATTCCAAACAAAAGCACATTGTGCTGGGAAACAAAAGGACATTAAATGAACCAATGTTGCAGCTAAAAATACAGTATTCACACCCCTCTTTCCTAATGAATTCTGATTACAACTTGGAGTATTTCAAACTCTGAACAATAGCAGTTTGCTTTTCAGACTTACAGTATTCATGCTTAAATGACTATTTGTATCTATGGGCCTTACAGAGTTGGATCACCCAAAAATGAAAATGTTGTCACTATTTACTCAAAGCTAATTGGTTCTTCTGGAGCTATTTCATTGTAAGTAAACAGTTAAACTACCAGTTATATGTTTATTATTATTATTAATATTTACAAAAGACAAAATAAATAGTATATATTAGCAGCAAATATATTAGCAAACTCTTCAGCTTATTAAAATGAATAGCTATTATAAAGAAATAGAATCAAGTTATCAAATCTCATTAATCTTTTCTTAACTGTATAATTTACAGATTCTGATTAAAGAGCAGTGAATGAATCTCATTTATTTGGATTTTTCGTTTGATTACATTAAATAACAGAGGTGTCACTTTGAAAATGCACACATCTAACGTTATAATAAAAGTATTTGATTGCTTTCCTTACTGTTTATGTTCATAGGACAAAGTTAGTTGTGTTTAAAAAAAACCCCACCAAGATCAACATCTTTAGATGTTATTACAATTAATTTTGTGTATATGTCTGTTCAAACACACATCCAAAACCCAGACTTTCGCTCTGCTTCACATCACATGTACAAAATCCGTTTGCGAAACAGCGTCTATTTGTCACTATGAAGCGTGTCAGCTGACAAGTCACGCACTGATATATGACTGTTTTGAGGATTGCATAGGAGGGACAACGGCACCTGTAATGAAAAGGAAGGGAATCCCGCCATTTTTATATTTATTTCAAAGTGTTTTCATGCCTTAATAAAACAAAAGCACAGAACAGACTCACAAAAGTGGGGGGTGGGGGTTCAGCAGTATATGTTGCGCATAGGGAGGATCGGCTCTTTATTGTTTATTGCCACCCTTCATAAAAAGATTGAAAATATGTGAGAAATAAGGAGAAAATACCTTTATGGGATGATAGCGGGACAGAACTGTAAAGTTCTAGAGAATCCCCGGGAAAAACAGGACGGTTGACAAGTATGAAAAGAAGAGATTTTGAAGAGTGTTGGAAACCAGTAAACATTAACTTCCGTGGTAGGGAAAACAAATATGTACAGTTAGCCCCTTTTCATTTTATTTTCTTTTTAAAAAAATTCCCAAATGATGTTTAACAGAGCAAGAAAATTTTCACAGTCTGTGAACTTCTGGAGAAAGTCTTATTTGTTTTATTTTGGCTAGAATAAAAGCAGTTTTTAATTTTTAAAAAAACATTTTAAGGTCAAAATTATTTGCCCTTTTGAGCTATATATATATATATATATATATATATATATATATATATATATATATATATATATATATATATATATATATATATATATATATATATATATACACACACATATATATATATGTATATACATATGTTTTTCGATTGTCAGAACAAACCATCGTTATACAATATAACGTGTCTAATTACCCTATAACCTGCCTAGTTAACCTAATTAACCTAGTTAAACCTTTAAATGTCACTTTAAGTTGTATAAAAGTGTCTTGAAAAATATCTAGTAAAATATTATGTACTGTCATCATGGCAAAGATAAAATAAATCCGTTATTACAGATGAGTTATTAAAACTATTATGTATAGAAATGTGTTGAAAAAATCTGCTCTCCATTAAACAGCAATTGTGGACAAAAATAAACAGGGGAGCTAATAATTTGTTTACTGGCTTTATTAAGATTCTTCAAAACATCTTCTTTTGTGTTCAGCAGAAAAAATAAACAGGTTTGTGACAAGAGAAAGGTTAGTATATGGTGACTGAATTTTCAGTTTTGAGTGAACTAGTATTTATTTGGCTGTGGGAGTGAATGGGATGTTCATATACGTGTTTATACTATATAAAACATGATAACCTCTGGCACACATTGAGCTATTATTGTGCAAAGCAAACAGGCTGATTGGTGTAATCTTTGACATAAAGTCATAGAGGGCATCATATCACATGTAGAGTTGTGGAAAATACCTGTTGATGAAGCTAATGGTGTTTACACACACTGATAACATTTCTTTTTTTTTTTTTTTTTGGACATGAAAGCAGTGTTGGGTGTAACAGGAATCTGAGCTTATAAACACTCATGTCTGTGTTGTCATAGAGTTGATACTGTCTGCGTCTCAGCGGCTGTTATTCTGGACAAATTTATGACAATGTGTTGCCGCTATAGTGCTAAAGAATGGTTCTTAAAGGAACACTCTGTGTTTTTTTTTAAATAGGCCCATTTTACAACTCCACCAGAGATAAACGGTTCTGTTTAACCAATTTTATATCTATTTAGCCAATATCTGTGTCTGGCATAAGCACTTTTAGCTTAGCTTACCATGAATAATTTCATTGGATTAGACCATTAGCATCTTGCTAAAAAAATTACCAGTGAGTTTCGATAATTTTCCTATTTGAGGCTTAAATCCCTTCTTATCCTAAGACTGAGGAACAATTAAAAGTTGCTATTTTTTAGGCCCATACCCACATAGCAAAATTTCTGGCCCACACAATCACCTTTTGCTTGGCCCACATGCCGCAGTGAATAACGGTACATGACTGGACCAGGTCTGGCTTTCAGACAAGGGCCAAACATGGACCATATCTGGGCAAAGTCTCAGCCAAGATAATAACCCATAACGGGGCCTGAACTAGCCCAGATATGTTGGTTTGTCATGACTGCAAAAAAATTTGATAAACTCATGAAGCTTTCTCAAAGCAACCTGATTGGTACAATTTTTTCTTGACTCAAAATATATTTAAATGTATTTGAAAAGTGGGTCAAATCAGGCCAAAATTACGTGGCCCACATATACATTTTTAACTTCTGGGCCAAATTTTAGGCTTTATGCCAAATCTGGGACAGAATTCTTTGCTACCTGGGTAGGAACTATACTCTAATTCTGCCGTAATAATCAAGGAACTTTGAGCTGTAGCATGGAAATGGTATTATGTAGGGCCTGAAAGTAACTTACATGTATTCTGGTTCAAACAGAAACAGTTGAAAATCTGCAAGAAAATATGTTTGTATCTCACTGTACACTCCCTGTGCAAACCAATGGTCACATTGACATTGACAGAAGTTGATGTGAGCACCAGAGTGCATGTGTCGACACATTAACCACTACGCCATTGGCGCCAACTTAAACAGTCATTTTTGAGTTAGATGCTAATGGTCTGATCTAATTCAATGACTAATGCTAAGCTAAGCTAAAATTACTTGAGCCAGACCCAGAGATCAGCTGAATGGATTCAAGAATGGTAAAACTCAACAGTTTAGCTCTTGGGGAGTTGTAAAATGATTTTTTGTAAAAAGTGGAGTGTTCCTGTTCTTGATTACGAGACCCAGAGTCCCCTATATAATGTATAGTAATTTTAATAAATTCTACACTCTTTAACTGCCCCACCAAGAAAAAAATTTTTGGATTGCATTTCTTAACTCCGCTTTGTCGCTAATTAATTCCTCAACACCTATTTTTGCTAATTGTCGCTTTATGGTAGAAGTACTGGAATTAATACATTTATGAAAAATCTGAAAATATGAAGCGTAACATCAATTTATTTAATTTGAATACTAAATTATCATTATTTTTTTGAAGTGTAATATATGAAATATTTCAGATTCTCATTTAACATGATTTTGGTTTAATTGTAAAAAACAAAAAAGATAAAGAAAAAGAAATCAAGTGTAGTAGTGCAACAGTTTTTTTTTTTTTTTTTGTAAACCAACAATGCTGTGTGTAAGCCATTATTTAAAAAAGTAAATAGTAAAACAGTAAAAACATGGTCAACCGTTTGGTAGAGGGGCAGTCAAAGGGTCATAAAGGATTTAAAGTCATATTATTTGAACTGAATTGTTTTAAGGTTGTGGTGAAAGACAAAAATGGCATGTACATTTATATAATTTAAAAATGCTGTTACATGTTATTCTAGCTAAAATACACTTATGTTTAAAAGTTGTGATCAGTATTTTTTTTTACATGACAATATATTATTTTTTATTGGGAAGAGACAATATATAGCAATTTAAAGGGATAGTTTACCCAAAACAGACAACTATCTGGCATCATTCTTTTAAAAATAATTTGCACCAGTGAGAAACACTTTTTTTTTAATAAACCGCATTTATATAAATAATTTTCATTCTTGCAAGAACCAAAAAGGGCTTTCCACAGGTCCCCAAAGAACCCTTTAGTGAATAAATCTTCAAAGAACCATTTTTAAAGTGTAAAATAATCTTAAGCATAATCTAAACTTTTCCTCTAATGAGATTCCACAGCCATTAAACGTTTTTTGTAGGGAAATTTTTTTTATTTTGATTTGTCCACTTGGGAGAATATCTTCAAAAATTTGCTGTCAGTGGATGAAAAAGGCCAAAACATATAGAAATGTACGTTTCATATGGATCTGACTTACAGTCTAGACATAACCCTAAAGTAAGGTGACGAAATTGCAATAGACATTCAAATTAATGAAGCTTGCTGGTCCTCCATTTCAAATAGCGTAATTTTTTTTCAAGTTAGTACTGAAATAGCCACAACTGGAACGGACTTGTTGAAAGTCCTGGGAAAGAGACTATAGATCTGCTCCACACTCCCGTCCCCGGATAAGTACTTCAAAGTATCAAAGAACCTGTCTGTCTGTGTACTAACTCCATGGAGACAAATCAGACCGGTCTGCTTCATAAAAGAGAAAGGCTTTCTCTCGTCTCTTTTCAAGAGGCAGAAAAGGCGAGAGTAAAAAATGCAGCCTGGGTAATATGGTGCTGTTTATGTAATGCAGATTCTAGGCCAGCGAGGGAGTTCATCCATAGTTCAGTGGTGGCACAGCAGGATAAAATTCTGATTACATTGAGTCTAGTCTGCCAATTACTTTCAGCGCTGGAGAACTTTTCAGCGTTCCTCATAAACCTGGCCTTTGTCTCTAGGTATGGCTGTAGTCAACAACATTTAACTGCCATTTATTTTCCTACTGTGCGAACAGTCATTTTCAGTACTGCAGGCTGCTGACAGAGAAGTAAGACTGAGATGTTCATTACTGTGATTTTTGGTGGTAAGTGCAGGAGAATTTATAAATGTTATTTACAAATGTTTGGGATTAATAAGATTTTAAAAAGTTCTTGAAAGTTGTCAATTACAATTTAAAGTGTTTTCCACACTGAGATATAGTGTAGAATCGGCTTCTCTGAGGAACGGCTAGTAAATGTCACAAATAATTATACATTTCTTGTTAAAAGAATGCAATTTAAAATGTAATTTATCCACGTTATTAAAAGCTGAGTTTTCAGCATCATTACAGCATCCTTCACAAATTATTCTTATATGATGATTTGGTGCTCTAAACATTTCTTAATTTTAGTGACGTTAAAAACTGTGGTACTGCTTAACATTTTTGGAAACTGTGATGCATTTCGTAAAAAATGTGTTTAAATATAAAATTCATAAGGACAACATTTATTTTACAATTGAAATTGTGTTAGTGAATCGTTGAATAAATGTGTTTTTTTTTAAGAAAAGAAAGAAAATAATGTTTACCCCAACATTTGAACCATACTGTCTATGTCAGGGGTCGAAAACCTTTGTTCAGCAAAGAGCCATTTTTTAAAGAGCATTGGAGTGTGTATATTACTACATAAAACCCAACAGACAAATTTATCAAATCAAATGAGAGTAGTTAACTCAAAATTGACTGAAAGTTACTCATTTAAAAAGAGTTGTGAACTCAGTGTTGAAGGTAATGAGTTAATTAAATACCTCATTACTTCAACTTAAATTGAGTAAGTCTACAGTACTTATATAGATTAGTTTTTTTTTTGGTTTGTAGCAATTGGTTTCCTAAAACATTTTGAGTTGCCTTAATTTTTTGGGGTTTACAGTACTCAGTTGGTTTGAGTTGTCTTCATTTATTGGGTTTCACTGTGCTCAAATTGCTTCATTTACTCAAATGGAGTAAATTCACACTACTCATTAGAATTGGTTTTTGAGCTTAAATAATTTCTTGCAATCGGTTTCCTCAAACAGTTTGAGTTACATGAAATGTTTGGGTTTTACAGAGTATAAATAATACAGGTTTAAAACAAAACCTTTATTTGACTCCATGCATTTCACAACTCATCAAAATACACAAATATGAAGTATCACATGTTGAGCAGGTCCATAAATGTAGAAAGGACGATTTATTTTAAATTCTGGTAAATACATTTTTCTATTTTCTGAAAAGCAATACCGTTTAAAATGAATAAACATTTTACTATTATAAAAAATAACAGTTATTTCAAATAATACAAAATAAAGTATTTAGCAACTTTTAATTTTAGCTAGTTTTAAAGAACAAAAATCATATTTTACTATTATTGAGAAAATAAAAGGCAATTAAAGGGGCCAAGAGCAAATAATGAGCATGCGCTCCATAGAAATGTAAATTGTTTGCCCTTTATTGGTGTCATGATTCAAGTTTATCCAGAGCACCACAAATGTGAATTAGTTGAAACGTTGTTTTATTTTACAGTGAGTTTTTAATAATTTTGCTGTAAAAAAATGTACAATATAACAGTAATTGTGATCGTTTTTCTATAGAAAACTGATTTCTAGTGACAGTTATAATTTTTTAAACTGTAATTTATTATTGAATGGAAACAGCTGGAGAGTCACATGTGGTTTACGACGAGCCATATTCCTACTGGTCTATGTTATGTTCTTTATTGGTTAATAATAAGTTACTTCCTTTTATTGGCTTCCTTTTTTATTGACTTATATGAAATATATATTTCTTACAGAGGGAAGAGAGGAGATATTAAACCTAAATTGCAAGATTATAAACTTCATTCACTGTATAAAGGAAAAATGCAATCTGGATCCTCAAGGTAATGTATGCTTGAGCTCTCTGAGTTACCTAGAAGTTTAGAGTAAGAAAAGAACTTCTGCAAAACTCATATTCTTGATTCTTTAAATTGTGCTGTGATCTGATCGATCTAAACACATCTCTATACAAAGTAGTCATACAGTCAAAAGCTGATAATCTAGATAAACTGGGTCCCTTTGGCCTGTGAATATGGAGAACAATAACTTAAAAGCAACTTCCCAAAAACTGCTGAGTCTAATCTGTAAACTGATGCCATCGCATTACTGCTGAATGCATTTGTATAACATTATGTCTACATATAAAATCCGCAGATCTTTAGCTGAGGTTTTGAAATTTGATAAGTGATCTAAAAATACGACGACTAACATACAAATCAGGTTTAACAGAGCCCAAGAGTCATAAAAGACAAAAGCTGATATAGTAATACAATATTAAATATAGTAATACATTTTGTCTCATACTGATAAACGTTTTTTTTTTTTTTTTTTCTTATAAGGCCAATAACAATAACCTAAGCCTTTATAGGCCAGCACAAATACAGCCAATGACACATTAGTACATTTCTGGGCTCATCCGACTTGAAAAATGTAGTACACGGACTGAAAGTAACATTCTGCTCAGAAGCGATCGAATCTAAATCAGTAAATTGATCCCCAACACAACTTAGTTGATCTTAGTTTTTGTATGATGTGATGTCAGGACATAGATTCAGCAGATCCTTTATGAAAAGTTAATGTAATTTGTAACCCTACCTGTTTACCTAAAAGTAAATTCTCTGTAGCAGAGATATATATGGACAGGAAGAGGTAGCTGAATTTTGCCTGATACTGATAACTGTTTATTTTCTCATAGGGCCAATAACAATAACTTAAGCCTTTATAGGCCAGCACAAATATGGCCAATGACATATTAATACATTTCTAGTCTCATTTACCTCAGAAAATGTAATACACGGACTGAAAGTAACATCCTGCTTCTGAAGCGACCAAATCTAAATCAGTAAACTGATTCCCAATACAACTAAGTTGATCTTAGTTTTGATATTATGTGATGTCAGGACATAGATTCAGCAGATCCTTGATGAAACGTTAACAAAATTTGCAACCCTACCTGTCGATCTAAAAGTAAATTCTCTGTAGACACTGTGGAATTGATGGACAGGACGGGGGAGCTGGTGAATTTGGCAGAGCGAGCGCAGAGCACTGACCTTGTCAGCAGTTTGCTGAAGGAGAGAGAGAGTTACGTTCCATTGCGCGTCTCACGTGAGTTTGCCCTCACCATCTTACAGTATCCATCAGATAGCACTGCCCCTGTGAAGAATATCATGATCAATAATCAGCTCTGTATGTTCTCTCGTTCAGGAGCTGAAGGCTGTGAAGCTCCAAAATATTCTGCTGTGTTTGACTTTGGAACAAGTTATCCTGAGCTAGCAGGCAAGCTACTGTTTCTCTCTTATTCATATATAACCAAATTTAAAGATTTGGAGAATTTTGGCATAGAAAATGTTCACTGTTTTCCATTACTTTCAAGTTTTTCAAAAGATGTTCCAAGAAATCTAAATAAAACAGATTTTTCTTATCATAGCATTTTTTACATTTGACATAGAAACGTTTCATTTGATTTTTGTGGAGTTGCGCATCGATGGATTTGCTCTTCAGTGTTTGTTCTTTAAGCAGTAAAAATTGAACCACACTGAAAAAAACTAAACTGAACTTCATCTCTGAAAACTGAACTGACACAATTGAAATGTATTAGAACTTCAATGTTAAGCTGCTTTGACACAATCTACATTGTAAAAGAGTATGGAGTCAGTCTATGGCCATATATAGGCTACTTGCAACATAAAAAAGTTTTGCAAACAAAAAATAAAGTTTGAGTGAAAAAATTGTAAAATAATGCAAATCTCAAATAGTTGCAAAGGCGAAAATTGAGTTTTGAGAAATAAAAAGGCATTTTGCAACCAAAAATAAAGAACTGCAATTAAAAATCAAGTAGTGCAAAAAAATAATATCTGCAATAAAAAAAATCATATATTTGCTAAATGTTTTTTTTTTTCAGTATTGCCTTTACAAAACCTCTTACGTCATTTGCAATGCTCATTTTAATTAGCAAGTTTACTGTTTGACGATTAAAACATCCACCTAAAAAACAAAGGGTTCTGGTATATTACCTAATCTTGATTAGATTCATGACAGAGATTGATGGCTGATTTCCTTTGTGTCAAGGTGTCTCCAGCGGATGATGCCGCTTCATAGGGCACATGTTCGGGCATGTCATACATACCCCAATTGCTGTGACTTCACCCCCCTAGTGTCAAATCAGGGCCAGAAAGTGAAATCCACAGTTGCCAACCTAGCAATTTAGCCCCGGGAGTATAAGGTATTTTCCTTGTACAGTCAAACCGATCTTCTTTCTCCTTTCTCTTAAATTTAGCCATCTAATTAAACTGTTTATTCTTTTCTTGTTCTTAATCACAGAGATATTAGTGACAGTTTCTAAACTTGTGTGAGTTTATTATGTCTAAGAAATTACTGCAAATTTACTACATATCTATATTAATATACTGTATTCAAATGGCAATAAATTAAATAAATTGACATGCATTAATAAAGTGTGGTGCAAATATAAACACCCCTTCATTAACATTAGGCTGTTAAACAAGCAGAAACTGCTGGACCTGATGACATCCATAATATGCAAATGTATGTATGATGTAATCTAGCGACATTGCAATTGACTTGAGAGGTTTTGTAAAGGCAATACTGGAAAAAAAATATTTAGCATATGTATATATATTTTTTTTAATTGCAAAAAATATTTTTTGTACTACTTGATTTTTATTTGCAGTTCTTTAATTTTGTTTGCAAAATTCATTTTTATTTCTCTAAACTCAATTTTCCCTTTGCGATTTTTTGAGATTTACATTATTTCACTTTTTGTTAGCAAAACTCTTTTATATTGCAAGTATTTATGGCCCTAGATTGACTCCATAAAATTGCTACATAAATAAAAGATTAATCGAACTGAATTGAATAACTGAATTGATAAGTCGCTTACGGCAAAATGTAAATTGTAATTAGCTTTGGACAAAAGCATCTGCTAAAAGACAAAATGTAAACGTAATAATATCTGTTCATTAGATGGACTTATTAATGTCTTTGCTTTGTAGTTTGCTTTGTAGTTAACAATCTTTTGTTCTGCTACTTTCAGAGATTCTGAGAAAACTGTCAAATCCTTCAAAGGAAAGGGACAAAAGGGGTGGAGCATCTAAAAGAGGCGGAGCCAATCTAAACCGTATAAAAGCTGCTATTAACCTCAAGAAATCCAGCACCACACCTCGAAGCTGAACCTTGATCATTATCAATGTAGTCAATATTTTATTTATAGAATTTATGACACAACACAATATGTGTAATACATTGTGTTGTCTTTTTATATAGGCTATATTAGGATGTGTATGCCTTACCTTTTCCTTTTTTTCTGAGCAATAAACAAATAAAAACTATTTAATAACTTTGTTAAACATAAATGTTACCATGATTTACAGAAGACACCCACTAATGTTTCATTCAGTGTAAAAGTCAGGCATTTATTTGATGGCACATTAAAAGATTGAATTTAAAATCTTTATACATTCCACTGTCCATCAAAACCCTAAGTGTATTAATTTGCCCGCAACAGGTTTATAATAATTTAAACTATGGTATAAATTACAATTTAGTTTGGATAGTGTGAATTCTGAAGGACCATGAGACACTAAAAACTGAAGTAGGTCTACACACTGGGAGCAGATGCAAGCTGAGACTGCATGTAATGCTTTTTATGGGTACATATAACCTCACCCCTTACCCTACCTCTCACAGTGACATCACAAACGCATAAGGTAAAGTAAATATCTTTTAAATTATTAGATAACATTTACCTTGTCAAAAACTTTCTAAAGAAAAAATTTAGATCAGATTTTGACACAAATGTTATCCTATTGTCAGAATAACTACAACTATGCAACTATGTGTCCCAATTTTGGCAAGATGTTACTATATTTATATCAATTATTCTTTTACAGAATCTTTCTGTGAAACCAAAAACGATTGTTTTAGGGGGGGTTTTGTCTGCTTTGTGATAAACCTTATTCTATTGTTATGTAGATTTTATATTCATAAATATTAAATTTCAAATTGTAAACCCATTTTTTGTAGCATTTGAAGATTAAAAATTACTTGCTTACAATTCCAGATTCAGTTAATAAGAAAGCACTCAAAACTTATACAATTTGCACGACCTTTAATATGTATAATCTATTAAATCTCTAAATCTCTGTTATTTTTGTTTTATTTTGCCCTCCTCACTTTCAGTTTCTGTATCTATTATATCTATCCTCAGATCAAATAACCTACTTCTTTGGTCTTTGTTTAGATTTCTGTTGTTTTTTGCTCTTGTTTTTTTTTTCTTTATTAGTATAATTGTAATTATTGTTTTGGGTACATCTATCTGTTATACAATAAATGTTAAACAAAAAACAAAAGGTGACTGCTAGAGAATGAAATAAATGAAATATATTTTATATAATAATAATAAATAAAATATAATATAATAAAATATAATATAAATATATAACAATACATATATATAGGTAACAATTTCTCATTGCGTTTGTAGACTGTTTTAAATGGTCGTAGTTTTAGCAATTTTGTCAATTTATTAATGTTCTGTCTTGACTTGTAAAAAAATAATTTATTAAAAATATTAATAATAAATTAGTAGCTAACCACGTCGGGTTCACTTTGGCCCTCTGAGGTGAAGGGATTTCGCAAGAGATGGACATGTAGGCAACTAGTTAAATAGTAATGTAAAGCAAGGTGAATTCACTCTCTCTGCAAACTGAGGCAACTGCGGACGACAGCTCAAAATGTCCGGGAAAGACTTTGAATCTCTAGAGAAAGTTCTGGAGGCACATTTACCTGAAGCAGAGCTCAAAGAGGCCAGAAGACTGCTATTCGGAAAAGAGCTGAAGTAAGTTGGTCATACACTTTCTTCATTAGCGCGACAATTAAACGTGCACAACAAATCTAAAAATCATTAAATACCTGCGACGAATTTGACGACTGGCTTTGGTTTTATACCTTCGGTTACTTAACCGGGATAAAACACTTGCAGAGATTAGCAGGTTCAAACAGAAAGCGCAAAATGCTGTCTTTGACAAACAGCGAAAGCCAAATGAAGCTGTTTGTTTTATTCCGTTTGTTAGGGCTATTCATACAGTGCACGATGAAATTAAGTAAATGATTTGTGGTGGACTTTGGACGAAAAAAAGAAGTCTATGCCGGTGACTTTGCCGAAGTTATTTTGACGTCGCTAAATCTGCTCTGTAAAGTTGGTTTTAGGTTTAATATTCACTGGACATTCACGGACGCATTTTTAGGGATCATCTGCGAGTTACATTGACAAATCCAAAACGCAAAGAAGAAAAAAGTATTTCTCGAAGATTACAGTAAATGATTACAGGCCAGAGTGATTTACTAGCTGCAGCTAAGGCTATACCTCTAACTATATGGTACATACAAAGCAGAAATAGGCAATATCTCTTTTCATAAGCATACAGTACACATCAGCTAAAGCACTTAAAGGGCACCTAAATCATCTTTTCTAAGCAGTTTAGACACAACTGAGTGTAGGTATAGTGTGTCCATAGTCATATTGGGATGATTTAAAGATAAGTCTCTTTTTTTAATTTCCTGACCTTAAAATGGGATCCAAATCCCTCCCATTTTGAGCCCTTGGCTACTTGATGTAGGAGTGTGGTATCCCCGCCAACCAAATTAATTGACAGATGCATCTACATGTCTCCATAGCGTATAATCATATCAACAAGACAGGATGTGTGCAAAGCAGCCTATCATTCTAAAGTGTGCTTACATTAATAAGTACTAAACTGACTTATTACAGGAGAGATTTTCCTAATATTTCCATATAAATATAGTAAAAAACTTTAGAAAAATGTTACTACTGTGAGATTTTACCCATATTTTCATTCATATTTGTACAGTACACAAATACAGTACACAAATTTCGAAAAAAAATTGCCTAAAAAATTATAGTTGGGTCAATAATGTGAATAGTTTTCAAAAATAGACAATTTGGCTTTTGGGGATGTGCTGCACACTTTAAAATGGAAAAATACAGTTGGGTGAATTACTGTCATTATTTTTCTTCAATAATTATAATTATTATAAATTATATAATTATATATACATATACATTATATAATTATATAGAATTATTATAATTATAAAGGGATACTCTGACCTGTGGAAAGGCAGTCAGGCCTCTGGGAATCTGTAGAATGAGAAAATTACAGTTGGTTGAATTAGCGTGAACATATAAAAAATGTTTGTGTGTTTGTGTGTGTGTGTGTGTATGTATGTATATATATATATATATATATATATGGAAATATTGGGTACGCTGTAGTATGTCAGTTTAGTCCCGAAAAACGTGAGCACACTTTAGAATCAGAAGCTTACATCTAGGTGAAATACTGTTAATATTTTTCCTAAATATTTGTGTGATGTATACATAAATGAAGGGGGAAATGTGAGAAAATAACATTTAAGTGCTTTAGCTGATACTGTATGATAATGACAGGAGATACTGCCTATTTCTGTTTTGTACGTACCCTATAGTTAGCGGTATAGTAGCCTTGTTACTTGTAGAAAATCAGTTTGGCCTCTAACCATTTACTGGAATCTTCGAGAAGTACTTTTTTCTTTTTTGCTTTTCTGTGCATTTTGGTTTTGTCTATTTAACTCGCAGATGATCCCTAAAATTGCTTGTGCGATTGTCTGGCGAGTATCAAACCTAAAACCAATTTCACAGAGCTGTCAAAGCGGATTTTTAACGGTAAAGTTAGTTTGACGTTAGCCAAAACTACGTCAGGTAGATGTAAACTTGTACCCTTCATGTTGAACAAGGCTTCATTTCTCTATAAAAATGTAAATAAATTAACCATGAATTTAGTAAACAACATGAAACTATACAACAACATCTGTACCAAGATGTAAAAAAAAAAAAAAACATCCCAGTTATTGCAAAGACTCAATAATTTTTGGATGTTGCACTTCATTTATTTTTTCAAATAATAAATAATGTATAATCAATAATGTATAAAAGTCGAAATCAATGAAACCTCAACACAATTTCAGAATAATATGCATTGTTATTTTATTATTTCATAATTTTTTGCAGTTAATCTTATGTCGTTTATCACTAAAATACACTGATTCCAGGAAGCTGGACCTTCCCCGGAGTGCAATAGATGCTGCAGGGCAGCAGGATTTTGATCTGAAGGGTTATGTGTTTGAAGCTTCTCCAGAGCAGCTCAGACCACCCAGAATGGTCCGTGTGGGACTCATTCAAAACAAGATAGTGCTACCGACTGATGCCCCTGTGCTTGAACAGGTGAGAGGAAAATAAACACACATTACAAATAATGTCCAAAGGGCACATTTTGCATCTTAGCCCTGCTGAAACACAGAATAGAAACCATCACAGAACTTCGAATGATTTCCACTACAAACACCTTTAAAACCTTGCAATAAATCAAACTGTAACCATCAAACCAGTACATTTAAAAATTTAAAACATAAATTAGAAGTACAATTAGACATAAATTGTCTGATATAAATTTAAATCATTATAAATTCTATAGTTTTTTTTTCAGCACGGTGGCCCCTAACGTTCGAGGTTACAGAAGTAACCCTTCGTTCCCCGAGGAGGGGAACGGAAGTGCCATGAATGGGAGGATTCGGATCAGAAGCCGCTTATCTGGAGAGTATTGAACGGGCCAATGAATGAAATTAATTGGCAGCGTAAGCTTGCGCAGGTGTGCGACATCTGCAATTATCTCAGCATATAAGCACACCTGAAGCCAGCAGACGCCATCCTTTTAAGCTGAAGAGACTTTCAAACAGCTAAGGGACAGTCATTATGGCGACGGAATATGGCACTTCCGTTCCCCTCCTCGGGGAACGAAGGGTTACTTCTGTAACCTCGAACGTTCCCCTTCGGTTGGGGAACTTCAGTGCCATGAATGGGAGAATATGGAAAGCGCCATAATGACTGCACCTTACCAACACCCCCGATGAGGAGATAGTCAAGCAAGCGTGACGCACCCACATCATGGGGGGCGCGGTCCTCCAACGTGTCCCTGGCCCTAATTTATCCTACTTCAACAGAAGTTTTACGGATTTAGATATATTTTTTGGGAAGTCGTGAGCATCTAGATAATTCTAGGAATACGACAGTACGTTGGGAAGCGTGCAATCCCGATAGGGAGGACGCTGCGGAGGCCATCCGTTACCCAAGGGGGGGATAGATGGCAGAATTTACCTATGGACTAGCCCTAAAAAGGGGGAGTACGCATAGCAAAGAGTGGTTAGCGGAGAGGGAAGACACGGGTCCGCCCAGGGGGGGGACTTAACCGTGGCGGAATAAGCACATGGGATCGCCTAGTGGGGATCACGCATAGCAGGCACCTATACCCAAAACGCGGGCTGACCAGCGGGCAGACCTACAACGTAGTGGGCCAGCAAGTGACTCCTCCGCTGAGTCAGTGCTGGGGGCCACGGAGGAATCTGCAGGGCTCACCTGACGGGGAACTTTACTGACAGATAAAAAAGGCGCACGTACCTCCGTGTTAGGGAGAATGGCGCAGCAAGCGTGTTTCAACACCCTACCGAGTTGTCTCCTTAATCACCAAAGGGTTACCTAATACCCTTGAGGAAACCAGCTCCACTCGCAGATTGTAAAACCTTGCAAATGTGTTGGGTGTCGCCCAGCCCGCAGCTCTACAGATGTCTGTTAGAGAGGCGCCGCGTGCACGCGCCCAAGAGGATGCAACGCTCCGAGTGGAGTGTGCACGTACTCCCGGGGGACACGGCTGACCTCGACTCGAATAAGCGAGTGAAATGGCATCCACAATCCAGTGGGATAATCTTTGTTTCGATACGGCACTTCCCTGCTGCCGACCGCCATAACAGACAAAGAGCTGCTCAGATGATCTAAAATTCTGAGTACGGTCCACATAAATGCGCAGAGCGCGAACTGGACAAAGTAAAGAAAGGGCTGGGTCTGCCTCCTCCGGGGGCAGCGCTTGCAGGTTCACTACCTGATCTCTAAAGGGGGTGGTAGGAACCTTGGGCACATAACCGGGGCGGGGTCTCAGGATAACGTGAGAGTAATCCGGCCCGAATTCCAGGCACGAGTCACTGACCGAAAATGCCTCCAGGTCCCCGACCCTCTTGATGGAGGCCAACGCAACCAGCAGAGCTGTCTTCAGGGACAGAAATCTTAGAGATACTGATTCGAGTGGCTCAAAGGGATCGGATCGCAGACTCGTGAGAACGAGGGCGAGATCCCAAGAGGGCATGAGAGGGGGGCGAGATGGATTAATTCGCCTAGCACCCCTAAGGAACTGGATGACCAGGTTATGCTTTCCCACGGTGCCGCCAGCTACCGCGCTATGATAAGCGGAGATGGCGGCCACGTAAACCTTGAGAGTGGAGGGCGACAGCCTGCTGTCCAACTTCTCTTGAAGGAAAGAGAGCACAACACTAATCTGGCAATTTCGGGGGTCTTCTCTGCGAGAGACGCACCATTCAGTGAATAGACTCCACTTCAGGGCGTAGGCACGCCTCGTGGAGGGGGCTCTAGCCTGAGTGATGGTATTAACCACCGCAGTCGGTAGGTTACCTAAGTCTTCCTCGCGTCTAGGGACCACATGTGGAGGTTCCAAAGATCGGGGCGAGGGTGCCAGATGGTGCCCTGTCCCTGAGAGAGTAGGTCCTCTCTCAAAGGGATCCGCCAGGGGAGGGCCGTCGCGAGGAGTGAGAGCTCTGATATCCAGGTCCGGTTGGGCCAAAGGGGCGCAACTAGCAGAACCTGTTCCTCGTCCTCCCTGACCTTGCACAGAAACTGCGCGAGCAGGCTCACTGGGGGAAACGCATACTTGCGCATGCCCCGAGGCCAGCTGTGGGCCAGTGCATCCGTGCCGAGAGAGCCCTCGGTCAGGGAAAAAAACAACTGGCAGTGAGCGTTCTCGGGGGAAGCAAACAGATCAATCTGGGCCTCCCCGAATCGCGCCCATATCAGCTGAACAGACTCGGGGTGGAGTCTCCATTCTCCAGGGCGTAACAGCTGTCGTGAGAGCGCATCGGCTGCACGATTGAGCGTGCCTGGGACGTGAATGGCGCGCAGCGATTTCAGCCGCGGGTGACTCCAGAGGAGCAGACGGCGGGCGAGCTGAGACATGCGGCGAGAGCGCATACCCCCCATGCGGTTGATATACGCCGCCGCCGCCGTACTGTCCGTCCTGACCAACACGTGTTGCCGCTCCAGCACCGGTAAAAAGCGGTGGAGAGCGAGGAACACTGCCAACAGCTCTAGGCGATTGATATGCCAATGCAGCTGGGCACCCTTCCAGAGGCCCGCAGCCGCATGCCCGCGACACACGGCCCCCCAACCCGTGTTGGAAGCGTCTGTTGAAACAACAACATGGCTGGACGCCTGTCCTAGAGGCACACCGGCCTGTAGGAACGAGGGGTCGTTCCAAGGGCTGAGGGCGCGGCGACACAGCGCAGTAACCGAGACCCGGTGTGTGCCCGCGTGCCATGCGCGTCTGGGGACCCGATCGTGAAGCCAGTGCTGAAGTGGTCTCATATGGAGCAACCCGAGCGGCGTGACGGCGGCTGCGGATGCCATATGCCCCAGGAGCCTCTGAAAGAACTTCAGTGGGACCACTAGTTTGCTGTCGAGCTCCCTCAGACAGTTCAGCAACAGGCGAGCGTGTTCCTCGGAGAGGTGCGCTACCATGGTGATCGAGTCCAGCTCCATCCCGAGAAAAGAAATCCTCTGCACGGGGGCGAGTTTGCTCTTTTCTCGGTTGACCTGAAGCCCCAGTAGGCGGAGATGCCGAAGCACCTCGTCCCTGTGCATAATCAATTGCTCCCGCGAGTGGGCTAAAATCAGCCAGTCGTCGAGATAACTGAGTATGCGAATGCCCGCGAGCCGAAGGGGCGCTAGGGCACCCTCCGCGAGTTTGGTGAAGACCCGCGGAGACAGAGAGAGCCCGAAGGGGAGGACCTTGTCCTGCCACGCTCGACCCTCGAACGCAAACCGCAGAAATTGGCGGTGGCGTGGAAGAATGGAGACATGGAAATACGCGTCCTTCAGGTCTATGGCTGCAAACCAATCCCGAGGACGAACGCATTGGAGAATGCGCCTCTGCGTGAGCATTCTGAACGGCAGCTTGTGCAGACAGCGGTTCAAAACGCGCAGATCTAGGATTGGCCGTGACCCACCGCTCTTTTTGGGTACGATGAAGTATGGGCTGTAAAACCCACTCTCCATCTCGGCTGGAGGAACCGGCTCGATTGCACCCTTCGCCAGGAGGGCAGCAATCTCCTCTCGCAAGACAGGGGCGGACAGGGGGTTGACCCTGGAGAAATACACGCCCGTAAACTTGGGGGGCCGTTTCGCGAACTGAATCGCGTAACCGAGTCTGATTGTGCGTATGAGCCACCGCAAGGGGCTGGCCCGCGCTAACCAGGCAGGCAGCGCCCTCGCTAATGGAGTCATCGCTACAATCGCTGACGTACCAGCGGTGGGGCAGCGCGGAGTGGGTGTGCTGATCCGGGAAGCACGAGGGTCCCGCGGAAAAGCTGGAGGAGAGCGATTCGCTCTGGCTCCGCACCCTGACTCCGGAGAGGGGGCTGGAGGGCTGAGGGAAGGGAGACCGTCCCCCCAGCGCTCGTGAGCCACTGGCGAAGCACGTAGAGTCTGCGAGCCGGAAGGCAGCGCGTCCCGGACTGGCAGAACTCGTGCAGTCACATCCGGGGAAGGGAAAAAGTGCTCTTTTACTGATGTTTTGGTGGCACTGAAAAGTACCGTTGTTATCGGGGCCCCGCCCTCCAGCGGGGAAAGAGCAAGTTTCCTCTTCTCCGGATGGCCTGTCTCAGGGACGCTTCGCGGTCCGTTTACCGGACTTAACGGCGCCCTGGGCAGGAGGGGCTGCCTGCTTTCGAGGTGAACGCCGCGCCCGCTTGGCCAGAGGCGCAGGCGGGGGCGGGGCAGCACTCGTTGGCGGGCGCCCTCGGCGAGGAACAGCGGAGGTGGATGGCTCGGCGGGCGGAGCGGGCTTACGGCCACGCCGATAGATAACATTGCCCATCGCATCCGACTGCTCTTTCACCGCCTTGAATTCCTGGGTGAATTCACCGACGGTGTCGCCGAACAGGCCAGCCTGGGATATGGGCGAGTCAAGAAAGCGAACTTTGTCAACGTCGCGCATATCGGCCAGGTTTAGCCAGAGGTGGCGTTCCTGAACCACAAGTGTGGACATCGTCCTCCCCAGCGCACACGCGGCGGACTTAGTAGTCCGAAGAGCATAGTCGGTCGCGGTGCGCAGCTCATGTAATAAGCTTGGGTTGGACCCGCCCTCGTGCAGCTCGGCCAGCGCCTGCGCTTGGTAGCGCTGGTAGGTGGCCATCGCGTGCAAAGCAGAAGCAGCCTGGCCCGCAGCCTTATAAGCTCTGGCTCCGAGGGAGGCAGACAACCTACAGGCTTTGGACGGGAGGCGGGGCAAACCCCGCCACGTAGAGGCGCCGTGCGGACAAAGATTGACCGCGATAGCGCGCTCCACTGACGGGATCGCCTCATACCCCCTGGCAGCTCCGCCGTCAAGGGCGGTGAGGGCGGAGGCACTCGCAGCACGGGCAGAGAAAGGTGCCCTCCAGGACTGAGTGAGCCTACTGTGCACTTCCGGGAAGAAGGGGACGAGAGGCTTCGAAGGCTTCGCCTTCTGGTCCTCTACGTAGCACCCATCTAGTCGGTCCGGCCGCGGAGCTGGGGGATAAACCATCTCCAACCCCACGGCCGAAGCAGCCCGGGAAAGCACGGCTAACATGTCCGCTTCAGGATCCGATTTGACAGCGCTCACCTGCCCGGAGGGGGCGAGCGGGTCCGGATCTTCGTCGGACAGTGAAAGCCCACCCTCCGATGCCGCGGAGGACATCTGATCTCCGGTGTCAGCGAGTGTGAGAGCTACCATCTGGTTAGACGGATCACTCTCACCACTCGAAGCTTGGATGGAGCGCCGTGAGGAGCGAGAGGTCCGCGAGCCCGTGGGCGGCGGATTAGCTCCCGCTGAAACCCTCAGATCTGCCCGAGCGCCCGCTGCTTTTTTAGAACAGGAGGCAACTGGGGTGGCTCGCTCTCTTGCGAAAGTTAGCCGCGATCTTAGCTGTGCAACGGTCATGGCATTGCAATGACGACATGAACCGCCCGCGAGCACCGCATTAACATGCTGGACCCCCAAACATGCAATGCAGTGATCGTGTCCATCATCCGGAGACAGGAAACCCCCGCATCCAGAAACGCACAGTCGGAGCGCCATCCTGAAAAGGACGTGCTGCACGACTGTGTTGCTCTTTTAGGAAAGTTGCAACTATACGCACCGCTCTGGAGGACCGAACCCAAAGAACCGCAGGCAAGGGAGTAACCCAGCTCGACCGTCTGCCACCGCGAAGACCCACTTTGGACCGGGAGACACACTCGTTCGCTCTGAAGTGCTGATCAGCAAGAGGAACCCTCATCGACTCACTCAGAAAGGATCTGAAGCGAAAAGGATGGCGTCTGCTGGCTTCAGGTGTGCTTATATGCTGAGATAATTGCAGATGTCGCACACCTGCGCAAGCTTACGCTGCCAATTAATTTCATTCATTGGCCCGTTCAATACTCTCCAGATAAGCGGCTTCTGATCCGAATCCTCCCATTCATGGCACTGAAGTTCCCCAACCGAAAGGGAACATAGGCTATGCATACTGAAACAAACTTAATCTATTAAGTTGCACTTCCGTCTTCCTATTGTGATTTTTGCGTTCACAGATCACAGCTCTACACAAGCGTGTGGGGGAGATGGTCGAGGTGGCGGCCATGTGTGGGGTCAATATTGTGTGCTTCCAGGAAGCCTGGAGTGAGTACACAAACACACACATGCACAGCTAGCTCTCTTTCTAATGAATTCAGGACTGCCTGGAAAATCCAGTTGGAATACATGCAGTTCTTGGATTTCATCCTTTTTGTTAAATACTTTTATATTTATATGTTGATTTCATTGGCCAGAATTACTTTTGCAGGCTGCTGTTTTTTTATAATCAAAACATTGTGCAGTGATAACAAACAAAATATATTGTTACTTTAAATTGTAACTTTTAAATATTTTTTAAATTTTTAAGATTTGAACATCTAGATATATATTAAAATGAGTGATTCATTTAGTTTTTGAGTAATTTCAGATGAAGTAAAGCATGTCACACCTAGACACATGACCAACTGCACATATTCTGTCACAAAAACTACATAAATTCCACAGCTATCTATAAACCATTTCCTGTTGTCCTCACAGCAATTACTGGGCTTATTTATGAGCACAGCGTAGAGTACGTGAAGACTTCTTGGCCTTCGGTGACGTAACGCGCCTGTAAAGACATCAGCAGAATCTGTTTTACATCAGCAAAACGCAGTGACGAAGTTAAGCTGCGCTCGCAGTTTGTCTGTTTGTGTTGGCTGTGGTGTCTTGTCCCTGATGAAAGGGAGTCTCATACTCCAATTATAAACTCTCCCGGCATCCCAAAGGTCAATCAGTCCCTCTGCGTCCGAATAGGTCCCGTTGTCCAGGCTTGAACCCCTTTAACCAGCACCCTGTGTAAAACTCTGACCCCATGGGCTCTGATTTCCTGTCTTCATTCAAATCTACGAAGCGTGTTTGCTTTGATAGAAGTCATTTAAAAATGCAATGTAAACAGCAATCATTTCATCCCGCTTTAAACAAAACAACAACTGCTAATAAAAAATAAGGCCATAAACTTGCACTCCTCATCCTCCCTTCTTAGCAAGCAAAACAAAGTTTTATTGCACACAAAGGAGAGTCGATTTCAAGAGACTGAACTCTCATAAATAAAAATCAGTTCTGGTAATAATAATGCAGTCTTTTTGGGAAAATGTTGAGCACCATTTTTTTTTCTCTGTGTTCTGCACCAACAGCAATGCCTTTTGCGTTTTGCACACGAGAGAGGGAGCCCTGGACAGAGTTTGCTGAATCAGCTGAGGATGGGCTCACCACACGCTTTTGTATTCAAGTAAGAGTTGAATAAATGCTCATCAGGGTGTTTGTATAATTTACTAAAACTACATCTATTATTGCTACTGTTGGCAGAGGATATTTGCTCTGACTCTGAACAGTCAAAACTAGTTCCAATCCACCCTTTGCTAAACACTTTCTTCCATGTTTGTGCCATCACATAGAATTGCAAAGGCATTATTTTGAAATAAAATGATAAAAAACATATTAAAAAACTGTTTAGGGAAGTTTATTGATAGACTAGTTTTGAGAGGATCACGTGTTAATGATTGCTTGCGGCCGGCCCTGAATTATTCAATTTATGATTTACCAATCAGACAATTCCTATGCACCGAAGTTCCATATCACAGCCATCTTCATTTTGAAGAATCCTCCCTTCTACCCCTACTCCTCCTCCTGTCCTAGATGGGCACAGTGGCCCAGTGGTAAGCAATGTTGCCTCACAGCAAGAACGTCACTGGTTCTAGTCCTTACCAAGCCAGCCAACGTTTCTGTTTGGAGTTTACACGTTCTCCATATGCTCACCTGGGTTTCCCCCCGGGTTCCCTGGTTTCCTCACACCGTCCAAAAACATGCAACCTAAGCTAATTGACTAATCTAAATCACCACCATAGACATGCTCCTAATAAGTAGTTATTTCTTAAGAGCAATCAATTTTAGTTCATTGGCTACTACAGCAGGGGAGTTACCTGAGCTCAAACTCCCCTCTCGCCTTGCAATTGGGAGGGAGCCCCGGGCTCGAGGATCTTATGAGCTCAGGGCTCTCTCCCGAGACAGCATGCCAAACAAGCTTTTTAATCAATCATCAGCTAGGTGTAAACTCTTGAAATGGGTGTTTTAAGAAAGTGCTTGGGCTAGGTGAGGGCTTTATCATCCAAATAAGGCAATATCAATCGATAAACAAAAATATTTTCTCATTTACATTTGACATTGTATTCTTGCAACCTGCTTTACAATGTAGCCTTAAAACTGAGCTGCAAATATTCGCCACTCTTTTCATTAAATATAAATAGCAACTAAGTACACCTACTGCTGGACAAAATTGACTATAATGTTAATAACATAATGCTAAGAAAATACTTTATTTTATTTTTATTTTTTTCATTTAGTTGAAATGTATTTATGACTTAATTAAAGGGGGATTTTAGCTTTTTTAAAATATCCTCTTTTGTGTTTAAGAGAATAATAAAACTTATAAAGGTTTGGAATTACTTGAGGGTGAGTAACCGGCAAGAACATTTTCATTTTTGAGTGAACTGTCCATTTAAGGTCCATTTTTGGAATTTCAATCACAAGCAGACAGTGCTAAATACAGGTGGAAACAAAGTCTGAAATAGTTTGAGCTTGTCCACTTTCCATCACTTCCAGAGGTAGCTGAAAGACATATTGCTTTCAGATTGTAAAGCTCATGTGCTTAAATGTGTTCAAACAGCCAGAAAAAAAACACCTCTGCTTGCAGGATTAAACTTTGCCTGCTTAAATTGTTGGTTTAAAAGCTTGAATTGAAGCGAAAATAGTAAAAAGCAAAGTTTTCTCATACTAGTCCTGATGCTAACACAAACTCAAAGCATTTGGCATAGTTGTGAGGCTATCAGAACAGATATTTAAACTGTTGGAATGCAGCAACTGCAATAGATCGGAGACCACATACAGCTGCAAAATATGCACCAAGACTTCATTTTCCAATGCTATCTCATGCTAATTCTTAACTTTTTTACTTAGTGGCTAATTTGTATGAATTTGTACGATTTCATTAATAAATATTTGAATGATTTGCTACCCCCCCCCCACCCCACCCCCAATGAAGGATGGATTTAGAGGTGAGGTTTGGTGTCACTCCTGCTTTTAAAAATCTAACATTTTCATATCGTAAATTTGGAATTATAAGGTTCTATCTGACATTTTTTATCTAAATTGAGTTATTGACATATTCTTGACAACTTATTTACATTATGTGGTGTTTTTTAATAAGTTGTTTACACTTTAGGACTTTTTATTAAAAAAAAAAAAAAAAAAGGTTTTATCTTAAAAGCCCAACTCTAGCTTGGCTCTAAAAGGTTCTTTCTGTGAGCCAATCAGCATTTAAAATTCATGCGTGAGGCCCAATCAGGATCAGCTTTCCTTGTCATTTCACCGGACTGCTCCATTGACCGCAGGAAAGGTTAGAAAGACCACAAAATCTAAGTTAAATTAAATAATGCCACACCACATAAAATGAAGAAGAATCCTGAAACTGAAAGGATGTGTGTAAATGTGATGATTTAGAAGCATTTTTTTTCATTGAGATGAACTGTTAAATTTTACAATGTTGAAACAAACAAATATTAAAAAATGTGTGTATTACTGTAAATGTGAAATATTTTTATTTGTGTATATAGTTCACATATTCACTGTTTATTAAACTAATTTGCTCATTGTCTGTTTTCTTTTAAAGTCTTTAATTCAGTATTAAACCTTGAATGGCAAATAATTAATTTAATTCATAAGACATATAAATCAATAATTCATATTAAGTAGGGGTGTCCAAACTCGGTCCTGGAGGTCCGGTTTCCTGCAGATTTTAGCTCCAACTTGCATCAACATACTTGCAAGGATGTTTTTAGAAAGCTTAGTAAGAGCTTGATTAGCTTGCCTAGGTGTGTCTGATTGTGGTTGGAACTAAACTTTGCTGGACTCCATCCCTCCAGGACCGAGTTTGGACATGCCTGATGTAAAGCAAATAATTCAATAAATATTAACATATTACATACATAAAATTAACAGCTGTACTGGATAAATTTTTTTACCACAGCCTTGTATCCTTGTCAAAAATATTCAATAAATATTAAATAAAACAATAAAAATAAATAAAAATTAAAAAAGTTTACTTCCTCAAGCCTCAACATACTGTTACGACACCCATTTATATATTTTTTCATTGTATTTCTTAAAAAGTAATGCTTCAAAAAATGATCTGCCGGATAGAACCTTATAATTCCAAGCAGAAAATGACTTTTCAGAATTAGAAGGTTCTATCTGCATTTGCCCTGTTTGCTTTACCCCAATTTGTAAATGTAAGAGAACTTCAATAATTTACATTTAGCGTATAATTAGGGTCTGTGTCATGTTAATGTATAAAAGAGAACTTTTATGCACATATTGTTTGCTATAGGAAATGCAAAAACTTTAAAACTCAACATCTCAAAATCATTTAGAATGCAGATAGAACCTTAAAATTCCAAGGTGACGATATGACTGAAATCATATGCATTTGTTTGAATTATCCACTAAACTGACAAAGCACAAAATAGGTTTGTTTCCTCGTGAGATCAAGCTGGTCATTTACGTATCATCCCTTTAGCCACAGATGTTGCTGTACAAGCAATCATAACAATCTTGTTCTATAAGGTGTTCAATCCTTCTGAAAATCTTAATAATAAAAAAAAAATCTTTAAAGTTAAAAATAAATCATGTTTAAATCATGTTAAGTTTTGATATATTTATAGTAGAATATCTTCTTGGAACATTATCTTAACTTGATATTCTAAAGTTTTTTGGCATAAAAATCTATAATTTTGTCCCATACAATGTATTTTTGGCCATTGCAGAAAACATGCCCATGCAACATAAGGCTGGCTTTGTGGTCCAGGGTCATTTAGTTGAACAGTTCATCTATGTCACGAGATTGATTATTTGTTCACTTCTCAAACTCATAACGTGACTGCATTTCCATCACTGTGGACTGATCTGTTTTATTCCCTTGTGCCGCTTAGAAAAGGAGTCACTTTCGAAAATGGGCATTTTAGTATTGACTGGTTTGTGCTGGACAGCTGCTTTGAGGCTGGTGATTTGTTACTGGATGTAGCAGGAGGTTAAGCCCACTGAGGGTCCCTGGACGTCCTGACCATGACGAGAGGCACAGGCCGATGAGCGGAGCAGCACGTAACGCTGGAATCTTCTGAACCCTGAGGAGTTGCATGGCCTTTGACTGTTTACAGATTAGCCACTTCTATCCTTTCACAAATATGTGCTAGGATATTTCTTGCACCAGTCAGTGGTGTCTTTTTAATTAATAATAAACAAACGTCTTTTTAATAATTAATATTCTTTAAGGCCACTACGGATTGTGGCTAAACTGTTAAAAATATTTTGTCCATGTTTAATAATTTGTTTAAAAATACATAAAACATACAGATCATATATTAATGACTAGTTATTATTTTTATTGCAATACATTTTAATACAAAGTTTCATTATGATACAAAATTCTTAGTCAGTATGGGTACTATCCTTTTAATATTCGAATTAAAATTCTGTTTAACATTTTTTGACGCATATTAATGTCAGGGTGATCTAACAAAGAATTAAAGGAATTAGATTTTAATGGTAAATAACTATATTAATATCAATATATAGCATATTTTATGTTGAGCATCAGTTTTTTTCTCTGTGTTCTGAAATCAACAATGCCTTTTGCATTTTGCACACGAGAGAGGGACCCCTGGACAGAGTATATTTCTATATTTAGCATTTTTTTTTTTAAATAATTAAATAAATAATACTAACAAATAAAACTGAAAACTAAATGGGGAGGATGTTTTGAAATTCTGTATCAAGAATTCATTTGTTTCTACAACATAAAATAAAAATGTGCTTAATATGACTATGAGAAATATAAATATATCTGAGGGAAACAAAATAGGCTTATTAAAGTAATACTAATTCTTTAAAATGTAACAATATCAAGTAATTTAGAATTTAAATTTTATTATAAATATTAAAGTGTTTTATTAATATAAAAAGAGCTTCATTGCTTATCAATATTGTATCAAAATTGTGTGAAATGTCCAGTTGACAATACATTAAAAAACAGGAAAAGTATAGCGATGACATGTACACAAAGCCTGCCTGGTGAAAGGGTGGGGTTTTTTTCTCAAAAAGTGGACATTTTTTTTATTTGCCTCATTTTCTATTTAACTATTATTTATTATTATTCAGTATTTACTGAATTTAAATTACATTTTAAGCACTATTTTTAGCTGAATTAGCTTGTCCGATGGTCATCATAACCACACTTTTTGGTGTACCAAAAATATTTCCTTAATATTTAGAATAAAGAAATATGATAAATATTTATTTTTTAAAATACAAATTTATTAGATCATATATCATTAGAAAAAGAGTTTTAAATTAAAAACTGTAGCCTATTGGCACTTATCAGGCAAATAACAAACTGGCCAGCACATTCCTTCCTTTTGACCATTTAAATAATAAAAAAAATAAATTTTTCTAGCATCTCTTGTAAAAAAAAAAGTACATTTGAAAATTATAGTTGCATGGATAACAACATTAGTCAAAATAGTATTCAAATTTGTTTTAAAATGGGTTGTTTTTAGTGCTAGTTCAAAAGTGCTAGTGCAAAAGTTCACACTTTTATTGGTCATGTTTTCTTTCGAGAATAAGGTCCAAGATTTAGAAAAAAAAGTTACTTGTCGAATGTTTTCTCTATTTAGATTGTATGTTTTCTTGCACAGCTGGTTGTTGGACAAAAAGTATTTGTTAACATTGGCCAAACTGATTAACTGAAGTCACACCACAGGGACAGCCAACAGAGAATTCCGCTTGGTCTTAAAGCCTTTTTTGATGGGTTATTTTTTACCATTTATAACGGCATAACACTCATTTGTAAGTCGCTTTGGATAAAAGCGTCTGCTAAATGACTAAATGTAAATGTAAAATGGGACAAATAAGCTCATGTATGGGACAAATTCTGGACCTTTGTTAGTGAGGGATGAGTCTTCTGAAACACCTAAACCCCTCTGGACAGTCTCTTATTACTGTCAAATCTTCTGAAATATCAAATGATTTAGCCTTTTTATGACAAGACCCAATGTCTTGTAAGCACTGTACCATGTATTTCTTTGAGCAGCCATCACTGCTAATCCTGATGCCTTTTCTGATTAATTGTCATTTTGCAGTTGGCCAAAAAGCACAACATGGTGGTGGTGTCTCCTATTCTGGAGAGAGACGAGATCCACGGCGGCACACTATGGAACACGGCAGTGGTGGTGTCCAATAATGGCAATGTGCTGGGCAAAACACGGAAGAATCACATTCCCCGAGTTGGAGATTTTAATGAAGTCAGTCAAACTACCTTCAGTGAGAAAACAACACAGACTTACCAACACTCTCCATTCACATCAATACAGTGTCAGCACTTGTTTACATCAAGCTAACGTGGTAATTATGTTGTAAATTTAAAAGTAGTACAGTGATGTTGTTTAGTATCGCTAAGTAACTGATATAATTTGTGTTAAATGGGAAAGTTCAATTCAAATAGTGGCTAAAAAATGATTAAACGCATGAAGAAAGGGAGGTAAAAAAAAGGCATGGAAAGCCCAGACAACAGCTGACATCTCAGTCTCTTGTCAGTGTACATGACTATTAGCTGATTCAGTCCAACATCTACATTACCAGATGATGAAGATAAAATCAGGGTGGACATTTCAGCAACACAGTGATCCAAACACAGCAAAGAAAACTCTCAACGGGTTTCAGAAAAGTAAAATAAAACTGCTAGGATGGCCAAGCCAATAACCTGACGATACGATAGAAAATAAAAACTAGATCCGAGTTCAGATGAAACACACAAAACATCAAGATTTTTAGACATAAAAAATTCTCTAAGAGACGTCTTAATGCTCTCATTACAAAAAAATATAAGAAAAAAATGTTTATACAAAGAATTTAATACATTACAGTAAGATTTTTTTGTTTGTATGCTTTGATTGTCTGTGTTTTTACCAAAATCTGGGTCAATTTAATCTTCTCAGCTTCTTTAGAATATATATTTACCAGGAAAAATCAGCACATACTCATTTTACCGTCTATATAGTCAATTTCATTATTAGGAAAATGATAATCCTCAAGAGAAGTCCAAACCTAAAAAAAGATGAAAGACTATTTTGCTTTGCTGCAGTATTATTAGTAGAATGTAATCAAATGATCATGAATATCACTTTTGGTTGAATGACAGCTGTGCACGCGCTGCAACAACCTTGTAAAACCTGATCATCTTGTTCTCCAACATTCATGAGAATGATCCAAATTTTTTCATGAGCTTTAGGGGAAACAAAAAAATCTGATAGTTTGAGTACAGACTCACATAATCACTTATTTGACCTATAAATAGTGCAGAATTATAATAAATGAGTAAGTTTGCTTAGGCAGACAGAATCTGCAAACATTTTTTTGCTATTTCTGATTTGAATATAGTAAGAAATCTGTGGATTTATGCATAATGATTTTGTGAGTATCATAACCAAAAACTAATATATGAACTAAAAAGTAATACCTTTTTAACTTTTATTTGATGTTTACAATGCAAATCCAATTAGATCCACTTATTTGGTAAACAAAGCAAGTCTCTTATAGAATATCTTTACTAAAAGACTAAAAAAAATAGTTTAAAAACTGTATTGTAAATAAATCATATGAAAATGTTCATATTAGTCAATAGTATTACTGAAATTAATTTAAAAACTGAATAAATATAAATAGACACAAATTTTCACAAGTAAAAAAATACACTCAATGATGGGCTAAAAAATCTGGGGAAATCTGTGGATTTCTGCGCGCCCTAAGTATGATTAATAAATCCAGTACAAGTATTATTCATTCCTAGTGTATAAATGCATGAACTAACATTAACTGATGAAGCATTATTGTAAAGTGTGACCACAAATGTTACTAAAGAAATGAAAAGTTCAGTTTAGCTATTATTGAAATGTTTCTTTTCAGAGATTTTTTTTTAGCAGGCTTAGTCTTATTTTTCACCTTCAGGTTAAACAAGTCGAAGTGTGTGTGTGTGTGTGTGTGTGTGTGTGTGTGTGTGTGTGTGTGTGTGTGTGTGTGTGTGTGTGTGTGTGTGTCTCTGTGTGTGTGTGTGTGATTTGATGGCAATAAGAACAGTTGATTTGTCTCCTGCTGTGCTGTTTATCAGTTTAATGTTGTTTCTTTGATCTAGTACACACTGTGATATTGCTCTAAACAGGAAATGTTCCCCCTCTGTTTTCTTGGAAAGCCTGCTTAAGTCTACCTGCAGGAACCAGAGGATGGAGAGTGCTCAATTGTTTAGTTTTCAGCCAAATAAAGGATAATTTTAGTAGGAGTCAATGCTGATTAACATCAAAAATGTTTAAAAGATTTACACAGAAACATTTCTGCGAAGTCCAGCGTATTGCCCTGCATGAATTTCCGCGTTACATGACCAGCATTCATTTTCAACAGCATCACAAACTGTGGCCACAATCCAAAGTACAACATATATTTTGTTTCTGCCTCACATGAACTGACAGCTATCATTAAAACACACAATTATCTCTAGTGTGATCTTTACATAGTTGCTAATTTTTGCACGTCGTAACACATGCCAAAAATATCAGGTGGTTTAAAAAAATCTCTAACATTTTACAGTAAGGGGTGGCTCAGTGGTTAGCACTGTCACACTGTCACAGCAAGAAGGTCACTGGTTCGAGCCCCGGCTGGGTTTAGTTGGCATTTCTGTGTGGAGTTTGCATTCAAGTTCAAAGACGTGGTATAGGTGAATTGAATAAACTAAAATGGCTGTAGTGTATGAGTGTGACTGTGTGTGTATGGATGTCTCCCAGTACTGGGTTGCAGCTGAAGGGCCTAAGCTATGTAAAACATATGCTGGATAAGTTTAAACGGTGGATGTTTAAACATAGTTGGCGGTTCATTCCGCTGTGGTGACCCCTGAGGGACTAAGCCGAAGGAAAATGAATGAATGAAAAAGTTTGGGCACCCCTGTGGTAAAAGCATAAAAATACAAAATCTCTGTAATTTGCCCTCTAATGGCAGAGTTAATGTTTGTAAGTATTCATTCATTTATTCATTTTCTTTTTGGCCTAGTCCCTTTATTAATCAGGGGTCGCCACAACGGAATAAACCGCCAACTTATCCAGCATATGTTTTACACAGTGAATGCCCTTCCAGCTGCAACCCAATACTGGGAAACACTCATTAACTTTAGCATTTACTCACATACACTACGGCCGATTTAGCTTATTCAATTCACCTATACCGCATGTCTTTGGACTGTGTATGGGTGTTTTTTAGTCATGGGTTGCAGCTGGAAGGGCATCCGCTGCATAAAAACATGCTGAATAAGCTAGCGATTCATTTGTTAGCCAGTCAACTCACAGCAAAAAGGTCACTGGTTTGTATCACGGCTGGGCCGGGAAGCATTTCTGTGTGGAGTTTGCATGTTCTCCCCGTATTTGGGTGGGTTTCCTCTCGAAGCTCATTTTTCCCCAAATCCAAACCCATGCGCTTTAGGTGAATTGGATGAGCTAAACTGGCTGTAGAGTATGAGTGTGTGTGTGTAAATACGTGTTTTGGGTGTCTTCCCGTACTGCGTTGTGGCTGGAAGGGTATCCGACGCGTAAAACATTTGCTGAAATAGTTGGCCGTTCAATCCACTGTGGTGACCCAGGGACTAAGTCGAAGTAAAATTAACAAATGATTACTGTTTAATAAATCTGTTTTGTTCAAATGCACAAAAATATAACCTATATTCACTGAGAAATGCACCAAAATATTCATTTTACAAATGGGGTGTACTCATTTATGCGCCTATATAATGTACTGCCAGCTCAGTTTTTGCAGAGGAATTGACGAGTCCAACTTAGAAAAATCCATACTGCTAATGCACACCCTGATGCTATTGTGTCCACGATATCCCAATCACATCTAACTGAAACAGTACTGGTGAAACAGCTCGCCGTTTAAATCCATACTGAGAGCAACACATGCAACACTTTTCGCAGGGTCTGTTTGTTCTATATAATATTGAGAAACCACGTTCACAACATGACTGATGATGCAGGCAGAGATGAGGATCTGTTTCATAAACAAAGATTTTCCCACTTGTTCATGTGGCAAGTAAATACGGGTGCATGTTGCACTTTTTAGGTCATTAAACTTTAGATCCACAACGTCCACTACACTGGACGTCTTTAATAGCCATTTTAAACCATTCAGGATGTGATGTCCAAACCACAATGGGTGGCCTAGCTCATACATTTTTATGACTGCAGACTTGTTAGTATTATTTAATTTATGATAATGTTAACTCAGAATTCCCGACAATATGCTGTCCGATTCTTGGAATACATACATCTGCTATTTTTAGTTGCAGTTACACACATATGACTATAAAGATAAATATGACAACTACAGCTGTGGAATAATTAGCTATTATTAGGTACATGTTTTGAGTAAGATGTTCATTGCAGGCTTATCTTATAAACAACTGATAAGGTGTCTTCAAAATCTTAAATAAGGCTTAAATTTATTAGTGTTTTTCACCACATTGCGATTAGAAGGTTTTATCTGCATTCTAAGGGGTTTTGAGAAATTACACTTAAAAACATTGCAAATATTATACAGATGTTAAGCTTTCTAAATAGAATGACCCAAAATGTGCACAAAAATATTTGGAAAAAACATACTCAATAAATACTCGAATTTAACAACAACAACAACAACAAAAAAAGTCAGATAAAACTTATTAATTTCTTAGTGACAATTAATTTGCAGTAAATCACAAAAGGTCAATATACAGTATTCTATGTCTTCAGATCTTAAATGCACATATACATATTTACACACATATACATATAGTTATAGTTGCTGTGTGGACGCTGCTATTTTTGTTTAATTAATTACAGAGATTGTTTTATAACTATGTCTTTATCGTTTAAACCTGTAACATCAAGAATCATAACTATTGTAATAGTATTGTAATAACTATTTTTGGCATCCACACCAACACATAATATTGCTTTGTTTATTTTTAAGCTGCTGATATTAATTCTCAAGCTCTTTTAAACCTTTAAGGTTCAAAATTTAGGTATGATTTTCATGGTATTTTGTGAGTCAGCTCGATCCACGAAGGATTTAATGTAAATTATTGCAAACAATAAAGATAAAAACCTGTGAACATTACATCTGACAAAACATTCATTCATTCATTTTCTTGTCAGTAAAGTCCCTTTATTAATCCGGGGTCACCACAGCGGAATGAACCGCCAACTTATCCAGCAAGTTTTTACGCAGCGGATGCCCTTCCAGCTGCAACCCATCTCTGGGAAACATCCACACACACATTCACACACACTCATACACTACGGACAATTTAGCCTACCCAATTCACCTGTACTGCATGTCTTTGTGAACGGAGGGAGAACATGCAAACTCCACACAGAAACGGCATCTAAGCCGAGGTTCGAACTAGCGACCCAGTGACCTTCTTGCTGTGAGGCGACTGCACTACCTACTGCGCCACTGCCTCGCCACTGAAAAGACATGATTTACCATAATGTAAGGGATTTGATTAGCTGTTATTACCATTCATTCATTTTCTTTTCGGCTTAGTCCCTTTATTAATCTGGGGTCGCCACAGCGGAATAAACCGCCAACTTATCCAGCATATGTTTTAGCGGATGGCCTTCCAGCTGCAACTCATTACTAGGAAACATCCATGCGCACACACACACACACACACTCATACACTACGGTCAATTTTAGTAAACTCCCGCTGAGAGGGGAACATGCTACCCACTGCGCCACCGCGCCACCGCGCCACCTTGTTCTGACCTTTGAACAGATGAAAAAAATATATAGTTTCAAAAAAGATATAATGTTTAATGCATCAGAGTATTAAAGCAAAACAAACAAACTGTATTTTACTGATACAAAGGTATGAAATGTAGCTTTTCTTTATGGTGGTGTTTTTTTTTTTACTCTGCCTCCAGTCGACGTATTATATGGAAGGCAACACTGGTCATCGTGTCTTCCAAACACAGTTTGGAAAGATTGCTGTGAACATCTGCTATGGTCGACACCACCCTCTCAACTGGCTGATGTACAGCGTTAATGGAGCAGAGATCATCTTTAACCCCTCAGCCACCGTCGGGCTGCTCAGGTATCATACTGTACCACTGTCTTCTTCTGATAGAGATGCAATGCAGCATAATCTGAAGGCCACGCCCACTGGGGAGAAAATCCCTTTATATTACGGAAAGCTGCCTCCTTTTCATTTTTGAAAAATAACAAAAAACAAACTATGTCCAAAAACTGCCACACTACCTGACAAAAATCTTGTTGCCTATCCAAGTTTTAAGAACAAAAAATAATAACTACTTAATAATTGGGTATCAGAAGTCACTTATATGATTGGCAAAGGCCTCTGGATTACGCTTATTTTACCAAAATAAAATATGATCATGCCTTGATTTTTAATTATTTAATTAGGACAGCAAGGTCTGACTTTGCGTAGACAAAAGTCTTTTCACTCAACAGAAATAATGTACAGTATAGAATATAAAGTCATGGTGCAGTGGAAAAAGAATTAATATTGTGTTTGACTCCCATGAGCTTGGACGACTGCATCCGTACATCACTGCAGTGACTCAAATAACTTATTAATAAAGTCATCTAGAATGGCAAAGAAAGCGCTCTTGCAGGAATTTCAGAGTTCATCAAGATCCTTTGGATTAATCTTTAATGCCTCCTCCTTCAGCTTACCCCAGACATGCTCAATAATGCTCATGTCTGGTGACTAGGTTGGCCAATCCTTGCACCTTGACCTAGCTTTCAGGAACTTTGACGTGGAGGCTGAAGTATGAGCAAGAGCGCTATCCTGCTGAAGAATTTGCCCTCTCCTGTGGTTTGTAATGTAATGGTCAGCACAAATGTCTTGATACCTCAGACTGTTGATGTTTTCATCCACTCTGCAGATCTCTCGCATGCCCCATACTGAATGTTACCCCAAACCATGAATTTTCCTTTACCTGACTTGACTGATTTCTATGAGAATCTTGGGTCCATGCTGGTTCCCATAAGTCTTCTACAGTATTTGTGATGATTGGGATGCAGTTCAACAGATCATTAATCTGAAAAAAGTCGACCTTCTGCCAATTTTCCAAATGATCAACTTGAAGACAAGTTATTATTTGTTGTTCTTACTACTGGGATCGATGACAAGACTTTTGTCAGGTAGTGTAGGTGACAAGATACAACCAGATAATTACAGTAAACAACCAAAAAAACTCAGAACTAAATTTTTATAAGCTGCCCACCCCACACTGAAGCATACTTTGCATAATGTCAAACCGATACTGCTTCTTACAGAAAATTATAAGACTGGATACATTTGGATATTTGACTTAACAGAGACAAAATATTCACCTCACATACAGTCAAACAGGAGCGTCAGGATCTTACAATTGAGCTGATATTACCTATATCCACATTTGTCACCTTAAAGGCTTGCATTTACAGTTTAGTAGCTTATAAAAACTTAGTTCTGGGTTATTTAGCTTGTTTGCTGTACAACATTTCACACAGCAGCTTTTGGGCATTGTTCTGTTTTATGTTATATGTCCGAAATTACAAAGATTGTATTGTTTCCTCTTTCTGTGTGGGTGCAGGCTAAATGGTCTCCATCTTTATCAGATTAAAAGAGGTTGTTTTCCCTCAAGCTGATGCTGGTTTTGTGTTACAGTGAACCAATGTGGCCGATTGAGGCCAGAAATGCAGCCATCGCAAACCACTGCTTCACCTGCGCCATCAACCGTGTGGGAACGGTAGGTGTCGCTTCTCCTTCAAATAACCTGGGTTTGCCCAGGGGGGACCCACCTGAGATAGTCCCCGTGGGACCTACATGGGATTGCCCAGGTGGGACCCCCCTGGGATAGCCCACGTGGGACACACCGCCCGCATAGGACCCATCAGACATACTAAAAATGTATTAAACTGTCAAAGTGCAAATACTTAATTCAGATAAAATATATAATGGCTACACACTGTGTATAGGCTATATTTCCTTATTCATTAATTCATTCATTTTCTTTTCGGCTTAGTCCCTTTATTAATTTGGGGTCTCCACAGCGGAATGAACCGCCAACTTATCCAGCAGGTTTTTATGCTGAGGATGATCTCTGGGGAAAAAAAAAATTATATTATTTAAATGATTATAAATCTAAAAATCAAACAGTTTTCCAAACTGATCTTTTAAAGCAACTTTTGACAGATTTCATCATAACCCAATCAAAATGCAGCACATATTTTACACAGCGGATGCCCCTTCAGCTGCAACCCATCTCTGGGAAACATTCATACACACTCATACACTACGGACAATTTAGCTTACCCAATTCACCTGTATCGCATGTCTTTGGACTGTGGGGGAAACCGGAGTACCCGGAGGAAACCCACACGAATGCAAGGAGAACATGCAAACTCCACACAGAAACGCCAACTGACCCAGCCGAAGGCTTGAACCAGCGACCTTCTTGCTGTGAGGCGACAGCACTACCTACTGCACCACTATGTCAACAGCTATATTTATATAGACATAAATATTTATTATATTATATATTTATATTACTATTATATATTTATATATACACACCATTAAGAATATTGAGCTGTTCACTAAATTAAAAACGCAAATGGAACCAAAATTGATATTTCAGAAAAATCAGAATTAGATTTTCCCCTCCTTGGACAGCCCTGTTAAAAATGCATCATTTTTATTACAAAAAAAAAGTCAAGAAAAATAATGTGTATGTGGCATAATGTACCACTGTACTTGAGCATCTATAAATTGAGAGTCTATATTTTAAACGGTAGATTAAGCCTATGTATTTAATGCTGATGTATGGTTTTTTTATATGGATGGTATTTAAGTGTTACAATAATTAAGTTTTTTTCAAGCAATGTAAACAGAATTAAACTGAAAACCGTGATCACAGAACTGTGATACAAACCAAAGCAGCATTTTGGGATGCTGTGCCACCTCTAATGTCAATAATTAAATTAGCACCTAGGTCACCGGTTGTCCGTTACCACAATTATCATGTTGATAAATGTATCGGGGACCAAATTTTACCACCTAAACTTGGAAAAGGTCACATTTATTATGATATATCCTCTTTAAATAATCACGTTAAAAACATTTGAGTCTAAATCATACACAGAGATTCCAAGGAAACGTCCCAACTATGTGCTGTTTCTTCTGTGATAATATCTCTACCACAACTGAAGCAAACTGTAATTGAACTAATACGATTAGATAAGCACATGCTAATAATTTAAACAGGATTATATGGCAAACTGAGAATAATGTTGCACAGATGAAAAAACAAGCACTGTCCTCTTTTCTGTGGCTCTGCAGAGTCTGGTCTCTGTTAGTGGTTCTAATGTCTTAGAGGGATGACTTTTATTCTCTGAAGTAGATACTGTAAACCAATTATGCTGAAATTGGCTTATATGGGACTTATTTTGGCTCGCGTATGAAAGTGTGGAGGTTTCTGATAAGTGTTTTTTGCTGCCCTCTGCTGCTGGTTTGTGAGCAGATGTTAACCTTTGAGTCTTGATACTGATCTGTTTTTTTCCAGGAGTATTTCAAGAACGAGTTTACATCTGGAGATGGAAAGAAAGGTATTTCTCTTTATCTTTATATAATGAACGTGTGCACGTATCTGCTTATGTAAAAGTGCTGCTCTTCCATGTGACTTGTACAAAGGAAATGGCCAATGAAAGGACACTTCTACCACAAAATTACAAATTTAGGAAGTTCTAATTGATTCATTATGGCATAAACAACATTAAATTATAGCATCATGTATAAAGGCGCCTGCCAATGCAATATGGTAATGACATGATGAGGAATAAAAGTGCAATTTGCCATGTTGTTTTTAAAAGAAAACTACAAATTATTTAATCAAGGGTACTTTAAAATGACCAAGTAGCAATACATGCATCTAATATTCATCCATTCATTCATTCATTCATTTCTTTGGCTACATACCTGTTTTATCAGGGGTCGCCACAACAGAATGAACCGCTTAATCAGGCCCGGATTGGCTAATCGGGAGGACCGGGAGAATTCCCGGTGGGCCGGTCCGTTTTTTGGCCGCGAGGGCCGGTGTCCCTATAGCTCCAGAATCTGTTGCTCTCAGCAGTCACACTTTTTAAATTAATTTATTTATGTACTTGACCACAATTCTTATTCATTATTTTACAGCTGCTCTGCTCTTTTTATATATAACCAGCCTGCAGGTTATTGATGATATAACTCAGATGAGTCACTATTCAATATACAACTGTTGTGGTCCAGTGGTTAGCATGTTAGATTACTACTCCGCCAACCCGGGTTTGAACCTCGTCTGAGTATGTTTTTTTTTATTGTTAAGACATATAATACTGTTAGGGTTGTTGAACATTTGAAGTTCTAAAGCAGCTGTTTTCTCAAAAAAAAGACGTGATAGTGTAATTAGAAACTGAATTGGAAATGACCTTATTTTAATATAATCAGTCGTGAACCGAGGTGGGCCGGTCTGAGGCTTGAAACTCCAGGGCTGAAAAGGAGTCCCACTCCGGCCCTGCGCTTAATTCAGGACCGTGCGAGACTTTCCAAGGGGCATGTGCTGAAAGAATGTGCATGTGCATGTGTTCCACAGATTGAGCCCTATCTGTGCTCGTAATTTGCTTAATTGCTTACATATAAATATAATGTATTATAACGAAAATATAAATGCGATTTATGGACGAGGCAGTGGCGCAGTAGGTAGTGCTGCCAAGAAGGTCGCTGGGTCGCTGGTTCAAGCTTCGGCTCAGTTGGCGTTTCCGTGTGGAGTTTTCATGTTCTCCCTGCATTCGTGTGAGTTTCCTCCGGGTGCTCCGGTTTCCCCCACAGTCCAAAGGCATGCAGTACAGGTAGGCTAAATTGTCCGTAGTGTATGAGTGTGTGTGTGAATGTGTGTGTGGATGTTTCCCAGTGATGGGTTGCAACTGGAAGGGCATCCGCTGCGTAAAAACTTGCTCGATAAGTTGGCGGTTCATTCTGCTGTGGCGGGACTAAGCTGACAAGCAAATGAATAAATGCCATTTATTTTACTTTATTTTTTGGGGACCACGGAGTTGAAGGTCCACATGCAGCTTTATTAATCACATTAGTCTGACAGGCAATGATCAAAACAGTAGCAAATTGGAACATTTAGGTAATCCAAAGAATGGTTAAACTAACAGGCAAATGGTCAGGACAGGCGGAAAACAACATGAACAAAGAAACAAACAAAAGGCAAAACATGGCTAGATAAGGCAAGCATCAGGGATGGCTGAAGTTAAACTGATGTGTCGAGATCCCAAAGCGCAAGTGTTTCGAAACACTGTACCGAAGCATAATGAACACCCACGTCATGTGACTAAGGCGATTCGAAACACACAGGTCACATGACAACTTTATCGATACAAAGCATCTGTCATTTCAGAAGCATTTTGAGACCTGGCAAATCTGCATTTAACTGACAGAATCGGAAAAAAAACATGTGTAGCCTAGTGGACTGCCTGTGTGCATAGAACAACTGTGCTGCAAATGGTTCGAGTTAAAATCCTGACTTGTACAAATACTCTGAAATTATGACTTGATTTATTTAATAATGTTATTTTTTTCATGACCAAAACAAGACATTTATTCACAAAGTGTTCATTCCAATGTTAAAACAAAATGTGTTACAAGGACAGAGTATTTAAAAGACTTACATCTGTAGCTGCATCAGCCTGGAATCAAACCCATTATCTCTGCATGCTAGTCTGGAACTCTGACCGCTCCACTAAATCACTTGAAATCTAAATTCTACAACGTAGGGTTTAATACATCAATTTGCTTAACTGTTTCTTCGCAGAAGCTGTTCCAGAGCAATACATAAAAATATAATAAAATAAATGTAATAAAAAAATATATATATATTTAAACATTATATTCATTAATATTATAAATTAATATTATATTTAGGTTTTTTTTTTAACAATAAAAAGTTGTTACTGCATATGAGTGAGCCCTAAAAACAATTTACTTGTATGTTTGCTTTTGAAGAATCACACAATATTGCACATTTCCCTTTAAGGTGGATTTAAAACCTACTAGAAAATTTTATTTGGGTTAAACTAAAGACCATTCCTGTCTGCAAACAGTATATACTGTACACAAGTCCACCTGGCTGCTTCCCATAGCTGAGAGTCTGTGTGTGTAAGCATACAGTATAAAGGACCAGCGTATTTGTCTGTCAGTCTAGCGTCTGTATCAGTGCTGCCCGAGGACAAGAGAGCGTGTTCAAAGGTGTCGTGTTCCTAAACTCTGGTCTTTCAGGCTTCTGTTCTCACTTTCAGCCCTCATTACTGTTGCATAAGCCTTCAGCCTGAACACAAAGTCCCTCACGGCTGTTTTACATCTGCAACATGACTAGGGTCACACAGACAATAATGAAGGACTTCATTCATTCATTGGCTACAAAATACTATTTAATAAAGATTCACTTTCTTTGTTCCAACAAAGGACGAGTGAAAAGAGGTTCTTAGGCTTCAGAAAATATTGGGAACATAAAATCAGATACTATCTTCATTCATTTTTATTTTAGTTTTCTATAAGGTTTGTGTTTTGCAACTCTGTAAGCAAAATTTGCAACATGCATCAAAAGGTTTTAAACTTTAAAATCTTTATTTACACAAACATGATGTTGACCTGAGAAAGTTTTTCATTTGTAGGTTTAGAGTAGTTTCAACCATTTAAGAACAAAGGTTTTGAAGGCAAAAACTGAGCTTGAGTTTATTTAGAAACGTACTGTATATATTACTAGGTATTAAATTAATTATTAGAATATTATTACTATTTCAATTGTTTCCTCTTTGGACACTGCAGAAATAATATATTGTGCCTTTTTATTCTCAATAAAAACTAAGATAATAATGTTTGGAACTTACATTTTTAAGTTATAGCTGTTTTTATGTTGTTTAATTTAAAGGTTAATTTGATTCAACTTAAATTTAGGGCAACCAATCATTTTAGTAATGTAATGATGTCTGAATTATCTTTAGATGTGAGTAGCGGCTGCTAAAATTGTGCTTTTTCATAATATGAATACATTGTTTTAATAATTTTATAACCTTTATTTTATCAGGAAAGGCACATTGAAATTAAAAATCTATTTTACAAGAGCGTCCTGACCTTTTAAAATATATTTAGGCAGGAACATTTTATGTTTCATAACATTTCCATTTTGATTGCATTTGTGAGATCAAATCATTAATGGTGTGCATCTGTGACTGGTTTTAAAAACCATCTGGTTCAATCTTATTAAATTCTAGTGTAGATTTCTAATATGGTTTTTGGTTTGCCTCATCTGTAGCGCACCATGACTTTGGCCACTTCTACGGCTCCAGCTACATGGCTGCACCCGACGGCAGCAGAACTCCAGGATTATCCAGAACCCGTGATGGTCTGCTGGTGGCAGAACTGGACCTGAACCTCAATCGCCAAGTTGCAGACAAGTGGAACTTCAAGGTGGGATCAAAATCCCTACGTTTACCAAAACATGTCAAAATATCATCCTCCAACATCAATTTGGGTCGTTACAGTTTTTTTTTTTTTTTTTACAATTGCTTTGCTACAAATTTCCCTGATCTCAATTTTCAAAAGTCTAGACACAAAACTCTAAAGTCACTACTTTTAACAGGCTCTACAGTGCTCAAAACTCTGCATGTTTTGTTTGGAAGTAGTTCCTCTTGCAAAGGGATTTTGAGATTCTGTTTTTTTTTTTTTTTTTTTTTTTTTTAACATGATTATGCCGTGGAACTGTTGTATAAACACAATGTCACACTCGTAGCAGTGCGATGTGGCTGTATATCGTCACTGGTGGGACACTACGGACATATTTGTAATTCTAATAGTTGGTAAAAATTGCTATTTTTGCCATGTATGACATACTTTACATATGTGAAATCCATATGAACTAATTTGTCTTGTGTAATTTGCATGTATTTCCATATATCAGATTTCAATTTTGGCATCTGTGTTTTCATCAGTCTGGATTTGGCCACAGGTCCTTATCTACATCACAGTGGTGTTTTCATTAGTCAAGAATCTCAGAAAGATGCAAATTCAGGCCTGACATCGGCCTGCTGTGGTGCTGTTATTGGACTGCCTTGCATTCAGGAATGTCAAATATGAAAACATTGTCTGTAAAAAGTGGTACACGAAACAGAACCCATATATATGGAATAAGGATGAAATCTATAGGTAATGTAATGCAGTTGGGTCATCTTCTGTAGTAACTGATGTCATTTGATCTATCCTGATTTTTTATGATCTAAACTTGGTAATATTATACATCAATTTCCATGCGTCAAGTGTAATGCAACAGTTACTTATTATTTCGAGCGCTGGTATCAGTTGATAGTTACATCGTGTTCGTTAAATGAACACAAGTTATTTAAAAAAATGTTTGTGTTGTGAAATGGGATCAAGTTAATGGTTAATTGTGTTATATTGAAAATGTGATTTTAATTCAATGAACAAAGTATCTTTGACTTGTGTGTATTATATCCAAGAATTTGAGAAAAAAAAAAAAAAAAAAAGAGTTAAGAGTTATGTAAAAATGTGCAATTTTGGCAATGGTTGTGAATTTTGTGTCTAAAGTTTTGAAAATTGACAGCAGGGTTCTGAAATTGTGGCAAAACGATTGAAAAAGACTATAGATGTAGACAGGGCTCTCTCTAGTAATGTCTGCGTGCCATTAACACATATGAATCTCTCCATAGATGACCGGGAGGTATGAAATGTACGCAGAGGAGCTCAAAAAAGCCGTCCAGCATGACTTCAAACCCAATGTTATGAAAGATTGAGCCGATCAGAAAAAGCATGAGCTAAAAAAATCCCATTAGGAAAAAGTGTTTGTTTGTTATTCCTAAATAATCAGAATGATGCATTCCATTAAAATACAAATCCAACTTTTATTCATCTCTTAAAAGTCTGACATCTCAACATTCCTTATGTTCTTTTAAAAAAAAAAAAAGCACAAGCTGATGTAATCAGACACCTGATGCAATGTCTTAAAAATCGAAACAAACAAAAAAACAAGAAAGTAACATTTGAACCTGAATGATCACAGATTAAATAACATAATTATGGCTGGTGGATCACCATAGTGCAAGCATTTCAATCGATCAGCCATTTTGTCACCAACCATCAACGACTGGACCACTGAGCCGGCGTGTAGTGTGTTTACAAGACAGCAAAGTCTTCACAACGCTGTTCTGACCATTTCAAGCGGTGCACGACTCCACAAAACACCTGACGGTAAACCTCTAAACATAGTGTTCATGTTCTCTCCTGGAGGAATTCACTAATTATGGCAACACTAGAGAACTCGTAATATTGTGATTTACTCGATGGTGTAATACTGCACTAGTGCTGTGCGAGTGAGTTTAAAACGTACTTAAGGGTCAAGGTTCACATTTGGAGCACAAAGCAGAATGACTCTCTCTTCTGCTACTCTGCATGAGGTTATGAAGGACGTCCAGGGGATTCTGCTTTGAAAGGAAACCCCTGGAGAAAGCGAATCCACACCTATTGCATCCATGATAGGTCTAGCAATTGATCAAATCTTACCTGAGTTTATAAAAACAGCTTCCCTCTCTTTCGTGAATTAAAATCATTCTGTTTTCAATGAAGTGGCTTCCAAGAGGAAAAATAAATCATCACAACCCTCATTATTTAGCAAGGTAACCCTGAACAAATACACACAAAAAAGTCTATCTTTACATGAAAAAACATTATGTACACTCATTCTCCACCTCCTACAGTGGCAGAGACTATTATAAATCATGAGCTATGGATAATAAAAATCCACATGACAATAATTATGCATTACAAACACAAAGCAACTCCCTTTCCTTTTGTTTCGCTGTGGTTATTTCATTCTGTGGCCGATGTAGCACCATAGTAATGCTTTTGTGCGATGCTATAGCTCTAATGAGGAGCATAGCCAGAGGTGACACACACTACCTGCTATTGGCCAGCAGCACTGGTACCTGTTGGCAAAAATGATACCCAGCCAGCCACAGTGGATGCAAAAGGCGTTTGAATGTGCGCGTTCGCTCAGAAGCAGGCAAAACTCAACCGTCTTTGTAGATGAACAGAATGTCTTCGTCTGTGCCGTAGCTCCTTCGGGCCTCCTCGAAATTACTAAAGCTTGTGCAGCACACACCTGTCAATCAAAAAGATGAGCGTATATGAGAGTTGAAAATGTTAACCTATTATGCAAATGTCACTTTTAGATAGTGTTTGAACATAAACAGTTTGTGACAATGTGACATCACGATGGCTGTTTCTCAATATGCGTTCTTGCGTCCTCATGTAATGTCATCATCAGCTGCCAAAGTTCAGTTCTAAAACTCAAGACCACAAGAACAGAGCACGCATAAAAGTTCCAGGATGTGTTCTTGATGTCGAGGACACATCGATGCAGACTTGAGTGCAAAATTCGCATGAGAAGTCCCAGAAGTCATTGTGGCTGAATAAAGGAGGTGGGAAGTGCTGCATTTAATATAGATTTGCTATTAAAGTTCAGAGAGAGAACTTATTTATCTCAGGAGTTTCCCTAAATCAGGGATGTCCAGACTCGGTCCTGGAGGGCTGGTGTCCTTCAAAGTTTAGTTCCAACCCTAATCAGACACACCTGGGCTAGCTAATCAAGCTCTTACTAGGCATTCAAGAAACATCCTTGCAGGTGTGTTGAAGCAAGTTGGAGCTAAAATCTGCAGGACACCGGCCCTCCAGGACTGAGTTTGGACACCCCTGCCTTAAATGAAATGGTGAGGGTAAACATTACCATGAAAATCTTAATAGAGGCATAAACACATTAAGGGTGTTTATTTGCTGAAATTCATATTAAAATCAGTTTTATTAATATTGTGTAGAGCTGTGAACCTACACTGGTCTCACAGTTCGGTAACGATTATCATGCCATCAATTCGGTTCAATTGGATATACCGGTGCATCACAATGCATTGACGATGCTTTTCATACAGTTTTATATTTTCTTCACAGCAGCAATTCTTGTATTAAAATGTATAAATATATTAATATTTATATACTATTTCTAATACAGTTTTGTCCTTTAATACAAACAGTCAGATATATAAACTGTATCTTTAAACATAAAACGGCAGCGGCAATCACAGCTGATCCATGATCTACCGTGGAGAAAATTCTGCAGACACGTGCTCGTGCCTGTATCCAGAAGTATCGCTGTAACAGCCAAGAGGAGAGGAAACATTACGCCAGCAGGTCCAATGGGCCACAATGAGAGAGAGAGAGAGAAATGGAGTTTACTTTCATTTTCTCAATCGCAGTGAAATAGGTGATTCTGCAGTAAATGTCAGTTGAAGCGTTGTAAATACTCACGCTCACCTCCATTGCCATAGTAAGCTACGGGAAGATAGCACGTATGAGATAAATAACGTCAGTACATAATAACCAGTTATGATTATTTCTGAACCAATGCCGAATTGTCCAAGTCTGCATCGCAGTGCACCGAAGAAATAATTAATTTTGACACCCCTAATATTCTGTAATGTATATTTGTAAGGTCTTTAAGCATAGCTGAGAAAAGGGGGAAAACAGATTGTTGCATGAATGCTGTAATGTTTAAATAATTTTCCATTAATGCGTGAAGGTCATTTGACCATCAGGAAGAACACAGCATCTTATTTCTCTCAGGACACGTTCTCTGTTCTCGCGGCCTCCAGAGTTCGTTCTTTACGAGTCCGTTCTTAGCATTCTTGGGATTGAGAAACAGCCTTTGTCTAGGCCCCATCCACGACTCCGAAATGTTAGCATAGACTCCACCCTGAGTCTAACGAGATACTTCCAATTAGATGCATCTGAATATCCTTTATACTACCCATACTCATTAGAGATGCCCTGATGGGATTTTTTTTGGCCTATACAGATTTTACCCAAAATAAAAAATAATATTAATTTGGTCGATACTGTTATTGGTCAACTGCATACAGTACTATACCTTATTAGCTATTTTTTACCTCCATTAAATACGTTTTACTGAATATGGATTAAATCTTAGATAGATTTCTGTTGAAATTTATGATTGTGATTGGCTGGAAGGTGTGCAATAAAATGCACAGATAATTTCAGTCATGATCACAGCTCAAAATTTCCCTCAAACATTAGTAGCAACTATAGTAACTCAACAACCGTTAATCAACCAGATTTCTGATATGCTTAAAAATATTTGCGAATCATTAGCAAACACATGTTATTATGAGCTATTAGATATGCCCATGTCATTTACACTGATTATGTACAATCTCTCTCCAGCGCACAATAATTATACGTTTATCTGCTCCAGAAAAATAAAATATCGACTCACTAAAGTGTAGTCAAGCCAAAACTAACCATGGTTTGTTGCTTTACTGACACATACAGTATCAAACATATTAAATAAATTTGCTTTGTTGAATGTTGGATTATTCAAAAGATGTGAAGCCCACTTTCTCTATGTGATTAACAGGCCATCAGTTTAGGCATTTTTCATATTACTGCCAATAGCTTAAATTAATCCAATGTTGGCAGACAAATATTGGCAAATAATGCAGCGGATACCTAATAATGATACTAGGACTGAACAATATATAGTTTGAGCATAAATATTGCAATGTGTGCATCCACAATAGTCATATCGCAGGATAAGATTATTTATTAAATTGTGACAGATAAAGATATTGAATATTATTATTTTTTATTATTTTATTTTATATTTGATTGTTTAACTTATGTACTTGAATACAGTTAGACTCCCCAGTAAACTATAAGCAGTGTTTATTCCACCTTTTCCAACACACCATTTTTTAAATAATGCTGCACCAAACTTAAAAAGCCAGCTGCAAACAAAATTAAGGTCTTACTTTAGCAAATTTAACTTTATAAAAGTATTTAGCACAGGACTGGATTTGTGTTTCTCTGGATCAGTAATTATTTGGATTATTTGATTCATGGCAGCTGATTTTAGAAAAAAAAATTACAATTCAAAAATGGAAGGGAGATTATTATGACTAAAGATGAATAAAAAAGGATAATAAATAATAAAACAAACACTGCAGTACTTCTTAAAAATTAAGCAAAAATTTAAATAATTGATACTATGGTTCGAAATCTGATTAAATGTCATCCATTTTCATTTCAAAAGCCAGTAATGTTTACGCCAAAGCAAACTTCATGGTACATACGGTCGGAGTAGGCGGGATTGTTGTAGAAGATACTGCTGGTTTTTCGGTTGAATCCACACACTACGACAAAGTGGCCCTGGTAATCTGGCTTCCTGCAGAAGCACTTCTGTCCCACAGGCAGGAAACAGCAGTATTTGACAGGCGTGGAGCAGAGTTCACACACCAACAGCACTGCATTGACCAGCACGATGGCCACATGACCCTGCTCCAGATGACTCTGAATCTCCTGAACCGTAACAGAGCTGCAACAGAGACACGTGATCAGATTTCTTCATCCAGCACACAGATCCAGACTGTTGGCATGTGGTAGAATAGAATGTTGTAAAGAAAACTCAAGATATGATTCAACTGGAAAATATATGTGTTGAGTTTAGTCATACTTTTTTGTTCACTCAGTCCAGTAACATTTACCAACAACAGTGACATTAAAAGAACCATCAAGGACAAGGTGGTTTACCATTTAAAAATGCTAATGGATACTGGCATAAATGACTTCTTGTTAGGCCTGTCACAAAAATCAATATATCGACTTATCACACAACACATGGACATGACCGCAATCATTTTTGGTGATACGATATACATCACTAATTCTAACAACATTCTAGCTGATCTATCTCTATGGAGGTGTCAGTATAATTAAAAAAACACTATTTACTACAAATTAATATAGTATATTTTCATGTGGGTGGCTGAAAACTGAAAATAGATCTGGTAGCA